GGGGGGGGGGGGGGGGGGGGGGGGGGGTCCAAAAAGGAGAGAAGAGGGGAATTGAAAGTGTTTACGGCTCTCCTTTTTACAGGAAGGCCCCTTCTTATCTGGTTAATCTCAGTCTGGTCTCTCCTTTTCCTTGCAATTCAAGTGCATAACTAGAATGATAGTAGACTAGATGGAAGAGGCCCCTTCAATATGTAGTATGTACCCACCCTCTCTGCACACATTTCCTGTTATGGGCAAAAAAAAGAAACTGTCAGAAAAAAAAAGCTAGGTATCACTCAGAAAAAAAGCTCGGAATCGAGAGTCGGTTAACGTAGGGGCCTAAATTTTCAGAAATTTGTCATGCCATTTGTTAGAAAAACCAAAGGCCTTTTTAAGTTTTTAATCAAACTTGCCTGCGATACATAGAGTGGACTCGTTGACTAGGAGCTGAAAGAGGGGGTCCCCGTTATCCACTTGTGAAGGAATTGAAAGCAGTGTGGGACCCTCCGTTTTGGTGATGTGCCCCCTTCTATTATGGGAATCTCAATGGGGCTCTCTTTTCCTACCAGGGCAATCATAGACATTTGTGGTGATCTCATTCCGTGACTCGTCCGGAGGATGAACCCACCTCAACACTCTGCAAGTGGGGTTAAGGTGGATTATCACTGTAACTGTATCTCTGCAAGTGGGGTTAAGGTGGATTATCACTGTAACTGATCCACCTTAACCCCACTGGCAGGTGGGTGCTCACCACAGGTGCACAGCAACGTGGTCTTACCGTCTAGCTGCTGGTACTCCGCATCTTCACGGAGAATCCAATTTCACTGAGCCCATGTTGGAGACAGCGGGGCAGTCGTTACACCGTTCGTGCAGGTCGCTACTGATGCAACCTGAGGTGGCTACCAACCCTGCTCCACAAGTCGCTAGTCCCCTTCCACTAGGGGAACCCCCCCAAGCACTGAAGAGGGCATTTGGGGGTAATTTTTGTCAGTACTTTTTTTTTTTTTTTTGTGGGGGGGCCGGCGGGGGGGGGGGGGGGGGGCTCCTGTTGTTTTTGGTCAAGGTCTGTGTGTCTCAAGCTGGTGTTTGTCAGAGCCTTGGGCTTTTTGGCCAGTCCTGAAAATCCTGAAAAAAATGTCAAGGGTGAATTTTGCATGAAAAAGCATTTCTCCCTTCGGGTTTTAGGCTCCTTTTTCTTTTTTTAATTTTTATTTTTCTTAATCATGGCTGTTGGTATATTTGGTGTCCAGTCTATGGTTTGGTGGCAGGTTTGGTTCGAAAGGTTTTGGGGTTTCGTTATTAAGACCACAAGAAAACCCGGAATATTTATTTATTAAATTATTTATGTTTTTTTATTTATTTATTATAATATTATTATTATTATTTTGTAACCCTGAAAATTTTAGGTCTCTGTCAACTTCTCCTGGCCTCTAGGGTCTCTGTCAAATAGGTTTCGGACGGGGTGGGGCTCTACACCGTGCCCTCTTGTCAGTCAAGGAGAACAGATTGGCCTGTAATATGTACTTGAGAAGTGTTGCTTGTAGGCATCCCTGTGTACTGGGGTGTCTTGCGCAGATGGTTATCGCGTCCACACCCAATCGCATCCATTGTGCAATTACTTGATACGTCTGTGCTGCGCTCCCTGTAGTCAAACGGGCATAATTATAATTAGTATGTCTATGCTGCATTACAGTCGTCCCTCAGAGAACTGGCAGTTGTTAAGACCAATGTCGTCAAAAGAACGGGCATAATTAGTCCGTCTATACTGCATTATAGCCAGACCACAGTGAAGTGGCAGTTGTTAACAACTTAACACCTATGTACTATGTAGCCAAACGGGCATAATTAGTCCGTCTATACTGCATTATAGCCTGATCGCAGTGAAGTGGCAGTTGTTGACAACTTAACAGTGTTAACACCTATGTACTATGTAGCCAAACGGGCATAATTAATACGTGTCTATACTGCATTATAGTCGGACCGTAGAGAAGTGGCAGTTGTTAACAACTTAACAGTGTTAACACCTATGTAGCCAAACGGGCATAATTAATAATTAATAATTAATATGTCTAGGACTCTATGCTGCATTATAGTCGGGACCGCAGAGAAGTGGCAGTTGTTGACACATATCTAAGATCTGTAGGTAGGTTGTCATGACGGCTTCTGTGGTGCCGCATGCATATATAGGTAAACTAATGAAATCATTTTTTTTCGAAGTTAAAATTTAAAACAGCACTAGATGGAATCGCCTCCTTAACGACTGCCGGAGTTCAACTGATGAAGTTCAAACAGCACTAGACAGAAGAGCCGAGCCTCCTTTATGCCAAAGTAACAAGTATTGACTGCGGTAGACCGGCCGCCACCGTTACTGCTTTGGGGGGGATTCGCGGAGAATGTGTTTCGGGATATTCCACGCATTGTCGAACTTTAATTTGTTCTTCAATCGCATCTTTATTCGTTCGAAGTTCGAACTTCGAATTATTTTTTTTGATGAACTTTTGGTGGACCCCACCAAGCTATGGTGGGAATCCGTTCAACCAAATGGTTTGTCCGGGTCTACACGACACTACAGTCAGATGGAATATAGATCGTAACGACCAGATAAGGCCGATACCATTTCTCTCCCTCCACATATTGCAACATTGTAGACCAAGCTGCCTTCTTGTTGCTCTTTTCTTTCTGCCATTTTGCTGGAAATTTCGGCCTGTCACGTTACGCTTAGGTGTGCAAGATGCGATTGCCGAAAGAACAGTCCTGTTCCATTGTCACTGCACTGTTTTGATCTTAGGAAGCTGCTGTAGTCTATGTAAGAACAAGTTTGAAAAACTGATATGCTGCTCGTATTTTTCCTCTGTCCAGAGCCCCATACCCCTCTTATAATAATAATAAACATAGGGATTATAAAAGTTTTAAAATAGAAAACACTTCCAAAGAACACACACAAAAAAAAGTGGAAGATCTAGCAGAATGCAAAACTCGGCAATCATGAGGGCTTCCAGGACCAAGCAAAAAACTATATCTTCATATACAACACTCTCTTTCTCTTTTGTAACTTTGAATACTAGACTAAACTGCTGACATGCAAATAGGTATTTGCACGGGTAGAAGCCTCCCAGACTGCAACTTTGAGTGAGACATCGATGACAAGCGCCCGAACGAAGATAAGAATGACGATCTGCAGAAAAAAAAGATAGAAGAATGTTTGTGAAGAACTCTCTTCTCTGTCCTGTTGTGGACAAGGGTAATTAGTACTAATTACTAATTAATAATTTTGTAATTGCATCTCTCATGCAGGAAGGGCAACTCTCTTCTCTGGCTTGTTGTGGATAAGCGTAACTATGTAATTGCATCTCTCATGCAGGAGGGTACTTTGGTGGAGAAAGTTCAAGTATATAAAGTATGCAGCAGCTGACAATGTCCTCTGGGGAATGATGCTAGCTGGAGTGGAGATCTGAGGTTGCAGTGGCACAGCACCCTGATATGACGGACGGGTTGACGATTTCAGATTGAGACATTGTTTTTCTGTTCTTTCGACTCTTACTCAACAATATCGCCGTACTCGTTGATGGGTTATTTATGCAGTGAAGTAATTCTGACAGTTGGAGGGTCTGAAATGCTGTTCAAATTCCTTCTCGAGGCAAAGAAGCAGCGGTCATTTCAAGTCACCGTCGCTGAAGCAGACCCGAGGTAGAGAGAACCTTAGCTGACTTTTCGGTCTCAGTTTGCACTCTCTCCCCCCCTCCCTCCTCCCTCGCCCCCCCTCCCCCTCCCCTCTGCCCCCACGAAATAGCCCGCCTATTTGTTTTCTCTGATCGACAATGTCTGAATCCCCTCTCACTGTTTGATTCTCTTCATTGCTTGTTGCGCGTTCCATTCTTCTGTAAAGCACCCTGCTAAGCAGTTGCCTCCTCTGCCCTCTTTGCCACTCCTACCCCATCTCCCCACCCCCTCCAACCCTTTTAATTTGGTGTGCAAAGCAGAGCACCTTAGATTTGTAACCCAGCTAAAAAAAAGAAAAAAAAAAAAAAAAGAAAAAGAAAAAAAAAAAGAAAAGAGAATGCGCAGGTTTAACATGGTGCTTCGGAAAGGCTCGACTTTCCAGACCAAAAGGGCTCACAGCGCCCGATAGGCCCACCATGGTTTATAACGGTTCGGTATTCCAGGGGGCAGAGGGGGGGGGGGGGGGGGGGGGGAATAAGGGAGGGACTGCATGGGTCTCCCAGCTGTGATGGGGGAAGCGTGGGAGCTTGTGCTCAATGTATCTCACTTGAGTCGCCAGTGGAATAGGAACTGCACCGACACTCCCCGGAATGGACAAGAAGCCAGGACATTAAGGCCCTGTTTTTTTTCTTTTTTTTTCAAAGAGGCTTGGAGGGTCTGGTTATTTAAAGTGCCATCCAATGAATGAAGACAACCACATTGAAACTCTCCTGTTGAGTGGTACGGATCATGATGTATTTTATCCGTGTCAGATTTGTTTGCTTTCTGTCAATCATTTCTTCCCCTCTCCCGCTCCTCACTCCTTTTGGCCTCCGGCGCGCGCGGATGCCGACTGGAGGGTTGGTAGAGGCTCGGTCCAGGGTGCGGCACCGAGGTACTGGTGTTTGGAAGGGGGCTGGGTGTCTCCTCGTGAATTCAGAAAATTGAGGCCGGCGCGTGCGTTGGAAGACAGACAACAAATCACCCAGCCTATGTGGGTGAAGGGTACGTGGCCACACCGCATGAACTGTTGATAGACAGACCCAAGTTTCAATCCTGATGAGTAAAATTATAACTCTGAAATACCTGAGGGGAAGGGGGGGGGGGGGGGGAAGGGGACAGGAAACTCTGACAGGTTCTCAGACAGAGACTGAGAGGAATACATGAGAAGGGCAAGCTGGCAGTCAATCCTTTGGTAACATGGAGCAATGAATGCTGGTCAGGTATCCTTCTTCGGCTGATCGGAGGGAAGCATGAGCATGTAAATGATGTATTTTTTACTATTTTTTAGTATTTTATAGTTTTGACTTGCCGGGGGAATGGGAGGAACCGGACTGATGCTCACCAGAATGGATATGGAGCGAGGGCCATAAGGAGCTGTTTTTGAAAAAAACTTTAAAAAAGGCGAAAAAAAAAGCAAAATAAAAGAAAACGAAAAAGACCACAAGTAGGCTAAGCGGCCTACAGCTCAGTTGGTTGAGCATGTAATAAGTGATACACAGGAGGTCGTGGGTTCGCTTCCCCACGGCATCCATTCAACTTCCGACAACTTCTGTCCGGCGTACTTGAGGTTCACTGATTGAGAAAGTCGGCTTGTCCCTCCTGGTTGGTTGTGGAAGCTGGTTATGACATCCCGGCCCATGCCAGGAGTTAGGAGCTTGGGTGTTCCTCCCCGCACAGAGCAGAGCTAGGTAGGTATAATAATAGACCCATAACCTTAGGATAGTCAAGGCTAGGTTCGTATATTTAAGGTGCCTCTGTCCGATGTATGGTAGTTGCTTCACCTATTATCTGCCTTGTAGGGCTTACGGGTAGGGCATAGAGATGGGTAGCTAGTGTGAGGCGAGAGGGAAGAAAATAGGGTAGGTAAGAATACAACTGTTCCCCATATGAGGAGAAGACAGCTGAAATATTTTCATTCATAAAAAAAAAAAAAAAAAAAAAAAAAAAAAAAAAAAAAAAGACTGGGAGTGGTGCTCTGGAATGTGTCCCATTCCCAACGTGCAAAGGCAGGGTGAGTTTGGCGGCGGTCGATGGAGGCAAAGCGAGCGATGGACGGCACATGCATGCTGGCATGTCGTTACTGGCAATGTGAGTGGAGATAAGTCTCTCTCTGTCCTTGTCTCTGTCTCTGTCTGTCTGTCTGTATATCTCCCTCTGTGTCTCTCTTTTTCTCTGTGTCACTGTCTGTTTCTGTCTTTCTCTCTCTCTCTCTCTCTCTCTCTCCCTCTCTCTCTGTGTGTGTGTGTGTGTGTGTGTGTGTGTGTGTGTGTGTGTCTCCCTCTGTCTTTCATGTGCTACTGCTATGCTGCTACGATGGCATGTGTGTGTTGGCATGCCATAGCCAGCAACAACATGGCGGTCCCCCGCGTGCTGTGTGTGTGGTGCCGCGCCATCACCAGCAATGTGGCCGCAGGTAACTCTCTCTTTCTCTCTTTCTGTGTAGCACTCATGCGTGCTTCTGCGATGACGTGTGTGTGCTGGCACACCATTGCTAGAATTGCTTCTGCGATGACGTGTGTGTGCTGGCACACCATTGCTAGAATAGGACAACCAGCGAAGGATGGCCGCACAAGCTGCCTCAGCGACCTGTAGCAGGCAGCGCCGTGACCTGCTACCATTACCGGATGTGGCCACGGACAACCATTTTTTAGCGCAAAGCAGGGTGCAAAAAAAAAGGAGTGGGTTAGCACTCTGTGACATACTCACCTGGAAAGCATGCCAACCCAGAGAGTGGCCTTTCACAAAAGGCTGGGTGAAGTCTGCGAGGCCGCCCCCGAACTCCCCCACCCTACAATTTATCGTCTTGTTTCGGTTTCCTTCCCCCCCGGCTGTCAAACAAAAACCTTGTATTTTTTTCTCTCTTTTGGTGTGTATGTGTATGCACATGTGTCTGTGTTTGTGTTGAGCCCATAGGAATTGCAAACATTTTCTAGCTTTGAACTCGGGCTTGGGACAAGTTCGTTGAGCACAGATTCCATCTCTGCTGCACTTGCCCAGCAGTCTATATATGCCGTCATGGTGCTTTTGTCGGGACATGAACATGAGACTGGCTCTGTTTCGTTGGAACATCGAGCATGGGACTGGCTTCTGGGACCTGTCCCCTTGATTTCACTCGCAAGTTATGCTCCTGTTGTGGGCACTGGAATCCGGGGAGAGAGGTGGTCGTTGCCTTCGGATCTGACTTTGTTCTGGTGCAGTGCTGAGTGTTTCATACAGGGATTATGCCATTTATGCTAGGTAGCATATGGACGATTGTGCCCTCTGCTGGGCAGGGACGCAGACATGACAAGATGGCCTCTGTGGCTTCTTGGGCCCTACCTAGCTGTCTGCCGTTTTCAGCCAGTGGGCCTCTGATTACCTTGTTTTTTTTTTGTTTTTTTTTTTAATGTCACATGTGGTACAGGTATGGTGGGCTTACTTTGGCAAAAGAGCTTTCGCATGCAGGAGTGCAAACAACAGTCATTACGGATGCCGCTGTCTTCCCGATGATGGCACGCAGTAACATGGTAAGGGGCTGCACCCATATGCCCAACATGCCAGCGCAAGCAGAGTGACCTCACTGACCTGTTAGCATTGTTGGACATGTCTTAATACGATTGTCGTCCTGCGAGAGGGACCGAGTCTTCATTGCATGCTTGCAATTTGATTGGATGGCCTGAAGATATGCATCGTCGTTTGTTTCTCTCATTCCCGTTCTGATTTCTTGATATTTACTCCTCTCGGCATTTAGCTTCAACGTTCCTGGCTGCAGTTTCGGTATTTTTTGAACCGAAACCGTCAGCTCCTACACGCGGGAGCCCGGCACGCCCTGACGATGTCGGTTAAAAAATCGCCGAAATAGCAGCCAGGAACATCAAAGTTAAATGCCCAAAGGGGTACGCCGGGGCACCTGCATGATACTCGAGTTGTTTGACGATTTGCCCGAACACAATATCCAGCAGACGGTCACACAGGCCGTTCTCCTGGATAGTATTTACCAGCTAGTTGCTTGGCCGGGTATGACTTGGCCGCTCCCTCCCGGGTAAGAGTGGTTAGACCCCTTAGGCTTTGGCGAAACTGCGAGGCAAATCACCGTAGTTGGCAATTCTTGCGGAAAAGTCCTTAAAACTCTAGAAGCGTTCCCCGCGTCGAAAGTTTGCAGGAATCGGGAATGCCACGAAGCTCACCAGTGCCATGTTCACCGCCTTGATTTCTGTTGCTGGATCTATTATTTCCAAGTCTTCCATGGGGCAGTGGGAGGTGGATGACGCGTTTCCAAGCTATACCTGCAGAAAGAGGGATGACATAACTATTGCCGCCGGAGTGGCAGCGTAACGGATAGGGAGATGGGAGAAGGCCTTGACAGTTGGCTGATCTTCAAGGAAGGACGATGCACGGAAGAAAAACAAGAGTCAAGTGAACATGATGATGATGTGGATATCACAAACAAAAGATATTGTAATAGGGGCACTTTTCAGCCAGGCATTGTGGGAATCAACAGTAATTGTGCGTCAGATGATACACTCTATTGCAGAGATTCCTGGTGCTATTATCCCATACCAAACTGGGACCACAAAAGTTACAACAAACAAGAAAGGAAAAAAAAATTAGGCTGGTCCCCTGGCTGCCCGGCGACCTGGTCGTCACCGGGGAGAGGGGGGGGGGGGGGCGGGCCGCCTGGCCGGTTGTCCTGCCTGGTTGGCTACCGGGCGATCGCAGCGCATCGCAGAAGGGGGGGGGGGGTCGTCCTATTTCGACGTGGGGGGCCTTTTTCCCCCCACAGCAGGCCCTCCAGGCCGAAGGAGAAAAAAAAGCTTCTCGAATTTGAAATCTTGGCCCATCTGCGCCGTCGATCTCCAAGATCGACGGCCTAGATGGGGCAAGATTTCGAATTCGAGAAGGCGGGAACTACCGGCCCTCATCCACTCCCCTGTTATCCCTACCGCCCGACGGCTCCCTTTGGCAGTGTCGATCGTCGACGGCAGCTCCGCCAACGCCCGCCAACGCCCGCCGACGCCCACCATCGCTCACCATCACACATCACCCCGCTATCGCGCCAAGGTAAGTGGGTTAGTGGTAGGAGAGAGAGAGAGAGAGAGAGAGAGAGAGAGAGAGAGAGAGAGAGAGAGAGAGAGAGAGAGAGAGAGAGAGAGAGAGAGAGAGATCTTTTTCTTCTTCATCTTCGCTTCTTTTTCTTCATGATTGCTTCTTCTTCTTCTTCTTCTTCTTCTTCTTCTTCTTCTTCTTCTTGCCCCCTCTGCACGCCATCCCCGACCACCACCGACTTCCCCGACCTTCCCCCGATCTCCCCCTGCAGCCTCCCCACCCACTAGTCACCAACCTCCCACTCCCGGTCGCTCGACCACCCCCCTCCCCCCCCCCCCCCCCCCCCCCCCCCCCCCCCCCCCCCCCCCCCCCCCCCCCCCCCCCCCCCCCCCCCCCCCCCCCCCCCCCCCCCCCCCCCCCCCCCCCCCCCCCCCCCCCCCCCCTCCATGGTACGACTGCGCAAACCACCAATCCACGGCCAGAGGGTATGCCGATGTCTACATTCGCACCTGCGCAATGTCATCCTCCCTGAATTCTTTTCTCTGAAGTTCTGTGTCATCTTTTTCTTGTTTCTCGCTTGCTGGTGACGTTGCAGGTACTTATTGGTGCCCATGCAGTGATGGCGAATGGGGGTGTGATTGCACCGGCGGGATCGCATGTTGCTGCTCTGGCAGCAAAACGCCATGCTGTACCTTTTGTTGTCCTTGCTGCCATCCATCAGGTGAGACAATGGCCAGTGTCATGCATGTGTATGCAAGGTGTAGACTGCTGTTGTATTGTGTGTGTGTGTGTGTGTGTGTGTGTGTGTGTGTGTGTGTGTGTGTGTTTGGGGTAATATGTTTCTCACGATTTGTTTAAAAACTTTAGATAGGTTTTCACGGAGATTGACTGAGTTAAATGAAGAGGAGGAGAGGAAGGCTGTCGTAATAGACTTTCGGGGGCAGCGCCGGAAGAGTCGAGCCTTGGCATTTGCGCTTCGTTTGAATCTGCTGTTGGTGTCCTGTGCCGATCGCCGGTTGTTGCGTTGGTTTCGTTTGGTTTGTAATCAATGAACCTAACTAATGTTTTCTGCATCCAAATTGTAGCTCCCACCTCGGACAGGAGAATAAGAAGTACCTGGACGAGGTCAGTCGCTCTGCTGCGAGTTCAAACTTGCCGGTCCTAGGAATGATGACAGGGGGTCCTTCGGGGGCACACCCGTTAAAACTTAAAATTGGAACGATACAGAGAAGATCAATTAGCGTGGCCCCTGCGCATCAAGGGTGACACACATAAATCGAGAAACGGTCCACATAAAAGGAACGGTGACAGGGGTCCCACAGTGCCTGATGGACAGTGTGAAAGTTTCTGGGTGGGTAGGACAGGAGTGCTGTCCTCAACTGTGGCGAGAACTACCGTCTTCACCCGAATAGAACACCCGGTCATTAATATCTATCGCTGTATACAGACAAGACGTTGGCCGAAATACAGCAATAATGACCAGGCGTTCCTATTCGGGCGAAGAGGGCAGGGCACATTTTCCCCCTGATAGGCCAGTGCCAGCAGCTTGTGGTGGTCCCCGACCGAAGGCGGCAAAGGCGCTGACAGCGTCCGGGTCTGCTGGTGTTGCCCACACCCAGCATATCGTATCTGTTGGGCATGCCCCAGTCGTCCGGTAGTGCTGCTGCAGCTGCTGCCGCTGCTCCGTCACAGGTTGTGGTACAGTCTTCTTCAGTCCCAGGCTGTGATACTAGACGTCTGCATTGAATTACATGTGGCCGGCGGTGGTCTGTGTTTGTCGTCGGCCATGCTTGCGCTCCTTTTGTGCCACATGGAAGTGCCCTCTTTCTTTCTTTCTTTCTTTCTTTCTTTCTTTCTTTCCTTGTTTCTTTTTCGTTCTTTTTCTTTTGTCGCGGAAGAGACCCGTTGAAGTTGTGCTTGGAAAAAAAAAGAAAAAAAAGAGTGGTACAGTACTAGTACTTCATTTTTGCATTGCCTTCTGTTCGAGTTCGTTGCACTGAATCAATCTGTCTGCGCCTAGTGCAAAGCAAAGGTTGTTTTCGGCGACGCGTGTGCTGCGCGCCGGACAGCAGGTTGTGGTCTAGCAGTTTGTTGAAAAAAAAAAAAAAAGGGTTTGTTGCATTGATAAGGATAGCCTGCAAGATCAGCCTATGTTTGTGCAACACTGGCCCGAAACCCCCCTGACGAAAGTTTTTTTCATCATTTGTTTATCTGGAAACTCTGGCAGCTGTGTCCTGTGTATTCGGACGCGCCTGACATTGTGAGAAATGAGGGAAGGCTTGCATCTGAGATGCTCAACTATGGGGAATTTTCAGACTGCATGGAGTCCGAAGATGGGGAGCCGCTTTTGCAAGTGCTGAATCCGGCCTTCGATTACATTCCGCCTGAGCTTGTCAGCCTCCTTGTCACAGATGGGTACGCTACTATGCTTGCGTTGCTTGACCTCTTAATTTTTTTTTTCTTTTTTTTTTTCTTTTTCTTGACCTCTTAATTTTCCCACACTTGAAACTTTGTTTTCCTGTCCTTGGTCATCTCTCTCTCTTCCCTTTGCTCGTTCTTTAATACACTTTAAAAATAATCGAAACTTGAATAGAAAATTAGAGAACATTCATTGTCAATAATAGAAAAGAAATCATGCTTCAATCTATTGAATAATGAATGTTTTTAATTAAGATCAAATGACGATATATATCTTCATTTCATCTTTGTTCGTATGCCCTCTCTTCGAATGACCTTTCACGCATGTTCTTTCTTGCCTCTCTTGTCTGCCCTCCCCCCCCCNCCCCCCCCCCTTCTTCTTCTAATTTTCAGACACGTTGTCGATGATCCCATCCCTTCTTCTATGGCGTAACCCTTTCCCCCCCCTCCTCTGTATATAAAGCCGACCGGTCAATGCGGCCATGGGTTTTGCAGCACGTTCAGTTCAGTGAATTTCGGTCCGGTCATAGGACCGGGTTGTTGCCAAGTGATTGATGTCATCCCGGTCGCTGTTGTTTTACGGAACGATGTAATCGCAGTGCAGCAGGAGACGTGTGCCACTGAGGGGGCATACTCACATTGGGCCGTCGTGATCGCAGAATCGCAAAATCAGGTCCTTCTCGGTGCCGATTTTGCGGCTCTGCGATCATAAGGGCCTAGTGTGAGTATACCCCAACAAATCTTGCGTTTCCTAAAAAGTTAGGCAGGTGGGTTATGTCGGCTAGCGGTGATCCAACCTGTTCGGCGAGTGTGGGACATTAGATAGGAATGGGAAGAGTGAGAAAAGGTGATGGCAGAACAGGCCAGTTTTTTTTGTTTTTCTGTCTGAAGTTCTGAACCTTTGGCTTGTGCTTTTAACTGCCTGTTTTTTTTTTTTTTTTTTAACTCAGACTGCGACGATCTGTGAAGAGAGTTCAATTTCTTCACTGATTACAAAAGCAAACCTGCCAAATCAGTGGCATTACAGTCGCAGATCACTCACAAATGTGGCCCAATGAGAGACTGGCTTATGTTTCTTTCTTAAAAGTTCTTTCTTTCTTCTTCTTTTTTTTTTTTTTTTTTTTCAAACAAAAACATTCATGGGATGCCTCCCATTATTGGGGGTGATAAGAGCATACTCCAATAATAGGCTCCCTGTTATAGATGTGGCCCCGATCTACAAAAATAGTGGTGGGGAGCTGCACCAGCTGGAAACTGGGTCCAACGTCCCAATTACAAAGACGGAGCAAGTTGTGAAGCTATAGACAATGGAGTCGGATGGACAACATTGTTTGCCCTCAGACGAGGGGATTAACTGCCCATCAGACTGAGATGGTGGATCAACCTGTTTCTAGCAACAGCTCAATCCATCATGTACCCAGCTACCTATCAAACCTTCTTTTTTTTTTTTTTTTTTTTTTTTTTTTTTTAGAATCATGGATGCTCCACTCTATTGGTGGGGAGCGGCACCTGCTGGAAAATGGGTCCCGCGTCCCTTTACAGCAAGAGCCTGCCAGCATTGATTGCCCTGTTATTGGGGATTGACTGCACAGGTATTCAAATCGTTAGAACGAAGGAATGACACATTCTTCGGCATGGAGCCCCGCCTCTTCAGCCTAGAGCAGGCCAGTTTGGGCATGAGAAGAGAGACAAATATAAAGGTGTGGATTGGTATGAGAAGAGAGAAAAATATAAAGGTGTGGATCGGAGGAGAAAGTAGGCAGCTTGAGTCAGTGGAGAAGAATGCAGATGCTCACACTTGTCCTTCATTCCTCCTGCTGTTGTGTGTCAGAGGGCCGTGAAAAGTGCCACTCCAGCGATCTTTCCTGGGCGTACCTGGCTGGAATTGTGACTGGGTTCAGGCCAAAGAAAAAAAGAAACCTATTTTTGTTTCTGTTTTCCTTCCATTGTGGTGTCCCGGAGTTCCCTATCATTATGGAAGTGGCAGGATTTCAGCCCCTGACCTTTGGATCAGTGTATCAGAGGCTTTAGGTCAGTGTCATTCAGGCATCTGGCAGGCTCAGCATTTTGTGAGATTATTCCTGGCCAAAGACCCTCAAGACTGAAGTGGAATCCACATCCAACTCTACAGTGTTAGAACTGACCCTCGTGCAAATCTGCAGGGCTAAGTCTGGGTTGTGATGTCTAGGCCGTGGACGACTTCTTGACGAGTATGTAGTATATACCAAAAAATGTGTCTGTCGGACTATAGCCACAAACACTAAGTTGTGGGACTATAGCCACAAACACCAAGATCTTGGACTATACCCACAAACGCTAACTTGTTGGACTATAGCCACAAACGCTAACTTGTTGGACTATAGCCACAAACACTAAGCTGTTGGACTATAAGGCTAGTATAAGCAGTTAGTTGGACTATAGCCACAAACACTGAGTTGTGGGACTATAGCCACAAACACTGAGTTGTGGGACTATAGCCACAAACGCTGAGTTGTGGGACTATAGCCACAAACACCAAGATGTTGGACTAAGCCACAAACGCTAAGTTGATGAACCATGCCTTCACCATGGTATCAAGACTCTACCATCTTCACCCGAATAGAACACCAGGTCATTATGGCTGTATCTAGCTAGACTGAAAATTTGCCCCCGATATGGGGGTCTAATGACCCATATTGCATTCTATAATTTCTATTCAGTGAAGACGGTGACTGTCAAATGATATTGCAAGCTGCCACATCTTGTTCTCACGTTTTGCAGTACGAATCCGTCAGTGCTCGGTTGGTCGGTTGGTCGGGTGAGACTGCAATGTGCTCATCGTAGCATAGATGGGGCTCGCCCTGTGATTTAAGATTTCCCCCTCTCCCCCCTCCCTTTCTACCGCTGATGGGTTGTAGATTGTCGTTGAATCAGCATCCCCTCGCCCTTGTCCAAGTCTGGAACGGTCTCGTCTGTCCTCGCCCCAAGACCATATGGAAGTTAGATGGGCTAGTAGCAGGAATGAGGTACAAACTACCAAGCAGGGTGGTTGGTGGTCGGTGGTCGGTGGTCGGTTTAGCCCGAATGCCTGAACATTTGGGACGCCCCTCCCCATGCATTTGGCCAGTTCTTGTTTTTTGAGTTTTTGTCAACTTTTAATTTATTTGCAAGGAAGAAGAGCATTAGTGAACTTCAGCAATCAAACAGCATCATACATATGAGCCCAGATAGTCTTGACCTCGAACCACAGCAGACTGGCATCACGAGATACACCAAATAAGAACACACCAAGAGTTCAAAATTGACAATGCTGAAGTAGTCCCATCATCATCAAATACGAACCAGAGTTGATATCCTATTGGCGCTCGGCGCCCAGACTACAGGTGGCAGATCCTATCTAACCTATACTACGAAGCAGAATGATGACATC